GAATCAGTATTTTGGAGTTTTCATTGTATTCATCTTGAACATTTTTTTGTAGCTTTTTATTGCCCTGGCTGGGCAGTTCAGTACATTGGAGCATTGTCCTGATACTCCAGGTGTGTGGGTTTGATCCCCCATTGGGGCACCTGCAAGAACTAACCAATGGATATGTGGGTGGGTGGAGCCACGAATCGCTGTCTCTCTCTCTCTCTCTCTGTCTCCCTTCCTCTCACTCTCTAGAATCAGCACATTTTTTAAAAAGTTAAAAAAACTTTTTAATTGATGCTTTTGGTATTTTTGGTGCCATTGTATTTCCTATGATCTTGTGCTAGTTTGTGGAAATAAAATTGAATGTTCATGTTGACCGTGAATTCTGCAGCATTGCTCAAATCCGTGATAGTGTTTGTTTTGGCAGGGTCTGCAGATATTTTTGGTAGGTTCTTTGGGATTTTCTGTATAAAATGTCATATTGTCTGGAGTAGAAATAGTTTTATTTGTTAAATTTTCAATCCGTATGCCTTTTCTTTCTTCTTGCTTTATCGCACCAGCGGGTCAGTCCAATGTGATGCTGACCGTTGGTGAGAGCAGTCCTCTTTGACCTGGTCTCGGTCTTTGGGGGAAAAGCATTGTCATTATTGAGCATGATGTTAGCTGTTGTTATTTTTCAGATGTTCTTTATCAGATTGAGGCAGTTCCTTTTCCCCTCTAGTTTTCTGAGAGTATTTGTCAGGAATGGGTGTTGAATTTTGTCATCTGCCTCTGGTTTTTCTCTTTCAGTCTGTTAATATGCTGAATTATGATGATTGTTTTTCAGATGTCAAATCGGTGTTAACTGACATTCCTTACACCAAGCCCCCCTTATCCTCTTTATATATTGTAACATTTGATTTGCTCACGTTTTGCTGAAGATTTTTGTGTCTAAATTAATGAAGGACCAACTTGGTTTCTTTTGTTGTAATGGCTGTGTGTTTTGGGTTAAAAAAAAATGCTGGCCTCTTGAAAGAATTGGGAACTGTTTTTTTTCCTGTTTTTATTTCCTGGAAGAATTAGTGTAGAAATGCAACTATTTCCTTCTTCAGCTGTTTAGAATTCGCCAGCACAGCCCCCTGAATGAGGAGCTTTATTTTTCGGAAGGCTTAACAATGCCGCCTCCATCTCTACAGCGGATACGGCCTCTCCCGGTTGTGTGTCTGTTCTTGAGGGAGCCCTGGTGGTGCGTTCCGTCGGGGGGCGGTTGTGTCTGTCCAGTCGGTTCAGATTGTGGAGCTTACGGACACAAAGTTTTTTGTGATGTTTCCTTATTATTTCCTCAATGTCTATAGAACGTGCGGTGTATCTCATCTTTCATTCTCGATATTGGTGATTTGTGTCTTTCCTCTTTTCTCCTGAGTCTGGCCAGAGATTTATTAACATTATTGATTCATCTGAAGACCCAGCTTTTGGTTTCATTCATGTTTCTCTGTGTTTTCTGTTTTCAATTTTTATTGATTCCTGCCCTTACTCATGGTATTTTTTTTCCCCTTTTGCTTGTTTTGGGTTTAATTTGCTGTTCTTTTTCTAGTGCCCTGAGTTGGAAGCTGAGGGGATGACTCCAGAACCTTCTTTTCTAGTATAAGCATGCTGAATGTTCGTAAAGTAAGAAGTGACCACTCTTTCATTGCTCTCCTTTGGCTGCCTACTCGCCACCCTGGCGACAACTAATGTTGCTTTTTCAGCATCCCTTCCCAGTTGGTTAAACACATACAGACAAATACACATGCTCTTCGCCATACAGTGGGACTACGTCCCAGTAAACCCACCGTACGTTGAAGATGCCCTGAGTTGGAAATGCACTCAGTGCCGCCCAGTAGAGCACTGGTCGTTTGCCCCATGGTCACGTGGCTGACTGGGAGCCTGTGGCCCCTACAGCTGTTTGGCATCATGGGAGAGTATCACGCTGCATATGACCAGCCCAGGAAAAAGTCAGCATTTGACATGATTTCTGCTGCATGCATATTGCTGTTGCACCATCATAAAGATGAAAAATTCTAAGTGGAATCATCATAAATTGGGGACCGCCCATGAGAATATTATTTTTGCTCTTTCCTTTTTAAAGTAATTGCTAGACTGCATTCTAGCAATTATTTTGTTCCATGCCTTGCCTTTTCTATGTAGTAAACTGTCTCAGATATGTTCTTTATCTTTCATATATTACATTTCTTTTTAAAAATTTTATTTATTTCAGTGAGAAGGGAAGGGAGGGAGAAAGAGAGGGAGAGAAACATTGCTGTGGGAGAGAATCACAGATTTGTTGCTTCTTGCCTCCAAATGGGGATCAGGCCCACAACCCGGGCATGGGTCCTGGCCGGGAATTGAACCGGTGACCTTGCACTTTGTGGAGTGACACTCAACCAACTGAGCCATACCAGTCAGGGCTATTTTTCTTCTTCTTCTTCTTTTTTTAAAAAAATTTTTATAATAGCATGAATAGCCAGTCTTCTATTAGTGGACACCCAAGGAGCCTGGGCCTTGGTAGTTTTCTCTTTTTCATATACTTTTAGTATTGAAGCTTTTATTAGGGGAAATTTTATACATTGCAGTTTCTGTATCTTAAGTGTCTTTTAACCGACAGGGCTCCCCTTCTTCATTTTCTCCTAAAACGGTTAGCTGTGTCCGGGAATGGTGACCTTCATTTTCCCAGGATTCGTTTTTTTAACACAGCAGTTTTTGAGAAATAGAAAACAAGTGCGTCTCGAGCACTTGGGGGGCCGGCACCCCAGAAGCTCCTTTCTGTGTCTCAGGCCGCCCCTCCCCCAGGTGGTTCAGATCCTGATGTTTATGAAAATCTCTTCTACGGTTTATTTTTACTTTCCCCCGTGGAATTCCCCGGATATTCTGGCATCATGAAATGAGTCTGCAGAGAAATATCTTGAGCACCTTACCTTAGCAAACGCCCTTAGCGGGGTTCGCACGTGCGGCTTGGCTCCGGGGCTCGCGGGCCCTGCTCTGTGCTCGCCCCGCCGACCCCCGGGCACGGCTGCTCTGCCCCGGGCGGCAGGGGTGTCCTCTGCTGCTGCTCTCCGCACCCGTGCAGGACAGAAGCTGCCTGCCTCAGAGCCCTTGGTCGTAAGCGGTAGAAACCATCTCGGGCTGGTTTATTAAAAGGGGGTGGGTCTTGCTAAAGACTCTCTGAGAGTGTTGGGAGGTGCAGCCTCGAAGATCACGCTGCCGAGAACGAAGCTCCGAGTCCCACGCGATGGCCTCACACAGCCCTTCTGCCACCAGCCGGGGCTCAGATGCTGCTGCTGCTTGTGCTCCGGACAGCACTGATGCTGGGCTGCGGGGGCCGCCCCAACACCGTCTCTCTGTTGCCTCGGGACACGGGGTGTGGCTGCCCCAGCGGCTGCCACGCTCTCCCGTGGACCCTCTGAGTTCCAGCTGCCGAGAGATGAGTTTTCTGTTTGAAGTCTAGAGCTGCATCTCATTGGTGGAGCTTGGGTCGTGTGCCCATGTCTGAGTTTCAAGAAAGATGGGGAGGCAGGTATCTGAGGGTTCTTTTCCTTTTCGATATTTTGTTAATGAGAAGAGGACGAGTCCCGTAAGGAGGGTTTACTTAAAGGTAGACTCAGCATTTGGGGGGTTGGTGACCGAAAGGAAACGTCCACTGTTAAAAGTCCTCTATCAGTTTTGGGTGTGCATTCGTTCCGACGTAATTGATGCTCTTCATGGGACATTGCCTCATGTAATGCAGTGGGTATTCGACATGGGACCGTTCCTTATCATTTCCAGGTCCCGTATAAGACAGGAGGACAGACTCTGCATTTCTAAAGATCCGGTATTTAGAACACCCCGTCCTAATTTTAACTTGTTATGTAGAGATTTCCATTTTATCTTATGAATAAACTTAATGAGACATAATAGTTAAGAAAATGTCATGGTGAAGGTTTTCACTGAGAACCTTCTGGCTTATAGATAATTTGCCTTTTTTCAGGTATGATCTTACTGTAGACAAAGGTTGGGAACATGGGAGATGCTTAGTAAATACAAATAGGGTGGCATAATATAGTAAATGGCAAGTAAAATGGGGCCATTAGCATAAAGAGGACGACACTTGCTGATTAAAACGAAGACAGTATCATTCTCATTATTGCACAGGTATTTTACCGAGTTACTAGGAAACTTTGTGAGCACAAGCTGTGTAAGACTAGCACAGAAACCCTTGTGAACTTACACATGATAACTTAAAAAACTGAGTAGTGGGGCTTCCATCTGCCGTGAGCCCAGGGCGTGGCTGCCTGGGGGGGCGGGGCCTGTTCGGGCAGGGACCTGGGCTGGCATCCTCTCGGCTCCACGGATGCAGCATGGCCTTGGGTAATTGGTTCATGCTCTTCCACGTCTCATCATTCCAATTTCTAAACAAGGTTTACTGCTACCGACCCTTCCCCTTCACTTTTCTCACCGTTGTGGGATGGGAAGGGCTGAGATAGGTATGACTGAGCTTCTCAGGATAAACCCATGATACCGTGAGGTTGCTGCAGTAAAAACAAAGATGAGTGTCCTGTAAAATCTCTGTAGCAACGTGCACCCTGTTGGTTTAGTACGTAACAATAAACGATTGTTATAATATGTTGATGGAAGGACACATTTCTGAATTAGTATTCAAAACAAGTGATGCCACAGTTTTGAATACTTAAAAACACTGCAGCTGTGGATGTAATGGGCTACATTGATAAGGAATTTACTTCTGTGTAGGCCTCTGCCCACACAGCCAGTAGAAATTGCTTTGCAGAATGTTTATAAAACCAGTTTCCAAATAATTTGGGTTCCAGGTAGTTTTAGCACTACGCACCTAGCGTAGATGAAGCCTTAATTCTACAAAGACGCAATAATCCGAGGTTTCTAAAAATCCAAGGTAATGTGGCAGAAAAGGGTAGGGATCAGTTCACTGGTTGCTCGCTGTTTAATGAACATTTGATTGCTTTTGTGGCTCCAGATGGCAACTATTTGTAATATAATTTCTCTTGCAGCGAGGGCCGAGGCAAGATGACGGTATTCTCAGTTAAAGCTATGTTAGCAACCATGTGTGGTGGGAAAATGCTGGACAAATTGCGATGTAAGTATTCTCATATCGTTTGAAAATTTTTATTTTCAAATTGGGACTTTCAAGCAGTTTTACGTGAATGTTTTCAGAATTTTGGATGATGCTGTGTTAAACGTTTGTGTTTACCGCCACATCGCTCACCTGACTCAGAGCCTGTGAGTTACGCCACCTACTGTTCAGATGGAAAAGTTGGTTGAATTTGTTTAGTGTTTTTATCGTAAAGCTTTAAGTTTAAAGCAAGAAGATGGAAGAGATTTGGAGCAGTAATGTGGACATTTAAAAAATTATTTTTAAACTGGTTTCCATATTATTAAAAAGTGTGTTTACACAACTGTTCTGTTATGTTTGATGGTTCTGTTAGAAAGTAAATTTGATTGCTTTGACCAGGTTTCGTCAAGGTCAGCCCTTTTGTTAGCGCCTCCCTTCATCCTCCAGCGGCGTCTGCTGCGACTGAGCTGTTCTCGCGCGCTGCGGAGTCAAGCTCGGTTATCTGGAAATCGACAGCGTGCTTTTCCAGTTACCTTTCCAAGTTTTTTTCTTACTGTTGACCATTTTGGCACTTTATTGTTGATTAGATACTATAAAGAGGTGGTTAGATGAAAGCAGAGGAGGTGAAATTCACAATTATTTAATATTTTTGCTTTGATTTTTATTCACTTTTTAGATAGTTACTCACTGCCTAAGATAAGTCAAGCATTGTGCTAGGTGCTTAACACGTATTTTCTCACTGAATTCTTAAAATTTCTTTGAGCAGCAGGTGGTATCTTGCCCATTTTATAGACAGGCCAACTGAGGGGCGAAGTGGGGATTTCCACTCGCTGCCAGGCTTCCAAGCCCTGCCCCGGCTGCGTTGCCGAGTCCGCTGGGCTGGCCCCGTGTAGGGAGCAGGGAGCGGGAGCTGCACCACAGGCGCCCGCAGAGCGGGGCGCTGGCAGGGTTCGGGAGGTGGGACAGAAAGAAGCCTGAGTCTCAGTGAAGTGCGGAGACACCCTGTGAACTGGTTTGTGGAAGAGACCGGGTCATCTGCCCTGTGGCATTTCTCGTAGACTGGATTTTGACGATCGGGTCCCATGATGTTCCTCTGTGCCCTACACGTTTTGTTTTCATTGAAAGATATGGAGGCTTGATCAAATTCAAGTACAGGCTTTTGGGCAAGATTACTTTGCGGGTGCATTTGTCTTCTGTGCTTTTCTTTTCTTTCTTCTTCTGTCTTAACCCTCACCCAGGGATGTGTTTGTCGATTTTAGGGAGGGTGGGTGGGGGAAGGGAGAGACAGAAAGAAAGAGAGAGAAAAACATTGATCTGTTGCCTCCCGTCTGCACCCTGACCAGGGATCGAACCTGCAACCTAGATTTGCGCCCTGACTGGGAGTCAAACCTGCAACATTTTGGTGTACAAAACAATCTCCAGTTAACTGAGCCACCCAGCCAGGGCTGTGCTTTTTCTTTTTGTTTTTCTTTTCTTTTTTATTTCTGTGTGTGTGTGTGTGAGAGAGAGAGAGAGAGGGAGGAAGAGAGAGAGACACTTTGAATTCTTCTTTAAAAAAATGGCATCTGCTTTTTCTTACATGTTACCATGACATCAAAAGCTGGAAAGCTAGATGGCTCACTAGATACAGATTTCAATGTTCTAAAGCGAGATCTTAGATAACGCATTTGGTCAAACTGTCATCCGGTTTGCCTCCATTTCAGAATCAGCTGCAATGCCTAATTTTTGGTAATGAGAATTATAGTTTTATTTAAATGTTCTTCTGTTTTTTTTCACATGGTAATATTACTCTTTTGGGCTGAAATTTCTTCATATTTTAATTCTAACATGTTTTTCTGAGGAAAACAATATGATATAGATGCAACTTTACTTCATTCAAACAGAAAGAAAAATAAAGTCGAGATTCTGTTATTTAATGATGATGATACCAGATAAAGAATTAGCCTTGGCTGGGTGTGGCTCAGTGGATTGAGTGCCAGCCTGCAAACCAAAGGGTCGCTGGTTCAATTCCCAGTGAGGGCACAGGCCTGGGTTGTGGGCCAGGTCCCCAGTAGGGGGCGCATATGAGAGGCAACCACATGCTGATGTTTCTCTCCCTCTCTTTCTTCCTCCCTTCCCCTCTGTCTAAAAATAAATAAAATCTTTAAAAAAGAAAAGAAAAAGAGAATATATGACAGCGCACAGTGACATGTGTTTCAGGGTCAGGGTGGCAAAGGTGAAGGGAGGGGGAAGTACAATTGGTAGTTACAAAGTAGTCATGGGGATGGAAAGGACAGGCAGGGGTGTCCAACACGTGGCCCAGGATGGCTATGAACGTGGACCAGCACAAAATCGTAAATTTACTTTAAACCTTTTTTTTTTGCCCATCAGTTTTTGTTAGTGTTTGTGTATTTGAGGTTAGTGTTTGTGCATTTAATGTGTGGCCCAAGGCAACTCTTCTTCTTCCAGTGTGGCCCAGAGATGCTAACAGGTCGGACACCCCTGGTAGGGAGTATGTTGTAGTCAGTAACATTGTAATACCAATGTATGTGCCGAGTGGGTACTGGACATGTGGGGGGGGGGTCACTTTGTAATTTATAAAAATTTCTAGCCACTATACAGTACGCCCAAAACTAATATAAAATAATATTGAATGCCAAATGTAATTGAAAAAGTAAAAATTAAAAAAACGGTTAAAATATATATATATATACATTGCCATTTTAATTAGTACCAAATAAACTGGTTGAAAATGAAAAAAAATTGATTATGTAAATGCACATTTTAGATGGCTCTGGAATTGTTAGGTTTCTGTGATGACTGAATCTGCTACATCTACATAGAGCGGATCCCTGGCACATAGTGAGTGCTAAGATTTTGCCAAGTATAAATCGTCGACGGAGCCCTTAAATGACTGCACGTGCCTGTTGTAACTGTGAGTGAGAAGGCACAAATTTCAGTACCATGTGAAACGTGGAAGGGATCCGAGTGACAGCAGTTCTGTTTTTTTTATGGATGTGGCTTTTGAACTTCTTGGAGGCACACAAGTGACCAGCATTCGAGTGGCATGAAAGCACGCACGCCCAGGCACACGTGACATGTCAGGTGTGCTCAGAATGCCAGGCATTGCACACCGCGTGTGGGTTGGTGAGTTACACGCCACTCTGAGCCGCTCATGACAGTGTTTTTATCATTCAGATAGGTTTAAAATGTGGCTTCATTGTCGTCTTCATGTTCAAAGTCGTAGCTGCTTTACCATCTGTCACTATTTCATTGTTTTTATGGTACCATAAATAGCTTGAGAATGAGGTGTTTAAAATGAGCAAAATAGTCAGAGACTGAAGCCTGTTTCCCCTTTTTAATTTTAAGCATCCAGGGCAGAAATCACTTTGAATGTGGTCTGTCCCCCTCACATTAAACAGAGCTCACTGATCGTAACTTAAACGCGTTTCCGTCTCTTGGGGATGTCATTCTCTGATGCATGTGGGGCTTCTAGTGAGGCGCTGGGTGGGTTGTCCTGCCTCATGCTTTCAGACCGTGGTGCTGCTGCAGTTCTTGAGTGTTTGTCGCTGTGGTTGTTGGTAGCGATGGAGATGATGTGTGTGTGCCCTTTATCGCTGGAGGGCGTGATGGTGTTATCAGGGTACTGGTCTCTGCAGATCTCTCTTTGCTTCTGATTTACTCCTGATACACTGCTGACGGAGGAAACGCAGCCGAAATTCTTAGTATTCTGTTTCGAGTAAGGAGGTTGAGATTACTCAGAGGTCACGGGAGAAGCCCTTGAGCTTCTGCGGCCTGGTTGGCAGTTCTGCCTGTCGGGAGAATCCTTTGCCCCTGGTTTCCTAGTTCTCAGCTGTGTCCTACTCAGTTGGAGTAGCTGAAATTAATAGTGTAGACAAAAGTGATACATAACACTGCATTGCAAGATCAAACAGTATTTGACCATTTATTCACTTTCTTTTCCCTACTTACTCCACTGTCTTTGTTGTTCTTAGCTTCTCCGTCTTGGACTGACAGTGCTCTCTGCTAGCACCTCTGTTAATGGTTTTCTAATTTATGAAGTACGCCTTAGTATTTCTACTTTTCTTACTCTCATTTTGATCTTTCTGCTTTTTACCTTTTCCTTTCTATTTTTTTCCTGTAATTTTGTCCCCTCCCTTTTTAAATTTGATATATATATATATATATATATATATATATATATATATATATTGCTTTTAGTGTCAAGATAGCCTTTGAAATGACTTAACCAATATTTGTGCTTTTAGTCTGAAACTTTTCTTCATTAGAGTTTTCAGATCTCTCACGAGAGAGGTTCTGTCCCAGGTGTCATTTATTTACAGAAATGGCTCACTGTCGTGGCCGTTAAGGACTATGTCCTGGATTCAAGGTAACTCTGTTTAGGATTCTCAACACAGCACCGAAGATTTATCATCAGAATGTAGACTTTAATTATAAGCATGATCAAAACTCAGCCATGTCAGAAATCCCCAAAATAACTCAGAGAACAATAACATTTATAGACTAGAAAGCCCATTATTTATTACATTGTACTTTATCGTCAGTCTCAGTATGTGATTTATTTACTTTCTGCTGTTTGTTTTCTAAGAAACTTAATCTACCCTTATTCACGCCCCATCTGTTGTACACCAAAAAGTAGGAGCAGATGAACTCATGAAATTTATTTTTAAATTTTTTAAAAAACTGGTGCTACATTTTGAAGGGCCAGTCTCACGGTGAGCATCGGGAAGATGGTAAGAATATTTATACCCACTGACGCATTCTACTACTTCAGTTTATCCCAAGGCGTTAATGAGAAGTGCACCTCAAGTTTGGTGTGTATCTGTTGCAAGGCACTTTATAACATACGAAAACTTGAAAGGGCTGTAGTGTCCAACAGTGAGAGCTCAGTTAAGTTTTGGGATACCCACATGCAATGCCTTTCAGCTATGTTTCAGGTCAAATGCATAAATGTAGTACAGTTTTTTAAATATTTTATTTATTTATTTTTAGACAGAGGGGAAGGGAGAAAGAGAGGGACAGAA